ACAATTCTGTTGGCCTTCAACATATTCCTAATCGAGGGCATTTTTTTCTTTTCATATGGGGTTGGGGTGCAAAAACAAATATTTTTAAAAACGGGATGCAAAGTCCAATTCGGACAACAATATGGGGTGCAAACTCAAATTACCCCTTATTTTTATCATAACAACATTACGCGTGTGAAATCGAAAGTTATGTATTTACTAAAAAATGACTGAAAATGTGATAATATGAAGACATGACTTTACACTGTTAACTTTCACACGCTGACAACATTACGCGTGTGAAATCGAAAGTTATGTATTTACTAAAAAACTCAAATTTCCCTGTTATTTTTATCATAACAACATTACGCGTGTGAAATCGAAAGTTATGTACGTAGTATTTACTAAAAAATGACTGAAAATGTGATAATATGGAACACAGAGGTTAATTGACTAGTTATATGTAGGAGGTCAAGTGTTTGATCACTTGGAGCTACCTTTTCCAAAACTTTCAAGGTTTAACTGATTTTGCGGGTTTGCAACCGTTCGGGTCTGATCCGTGTCCGCACGGCCCACCGAGTATTTTTGGTTTTACTCATATTGACAGTTCAATAATCAAACTGACCGGATTAAAGTTCGGTTTAGCGTGTTCCATGTAGGACTAGTGGTAAACATGAACTCCTGCCATAAAGAGGAGAAATTGCTAAAACTGCCATTTTAAGACCCAGTATTGCAACTATTTTGCGGTAATGACTAAAAAATGACAGTAAATACTGTCATGTTACGCCTATTTCGAGAAGAAAAAAATTACATCTTATTTTTGAATTCCAAAACATGTTTACTCCTATTTCAGGAACTTTTCTATACATAACCAGTCTTATATTATAGATAAAATAAGGAATAATTATTCACATATTGACATATACAAGTATATATTTCACTCCTATTACGGTCAATTCTTCTACTATAAAAAATATTTTAAAATTTAAAATTTGTAAATATAATTATTTAATAAAGTAACGTTTTTTGAATAGTTTTCTGGTTATTCTCAACATGGGTTAAAATCTAGTATATCATAATTAATATATGTGATTATTATTTTCAGCACATAAACAAGTAAAACGCGGTCAAAATACAGTACGTAAAGATCACAATATATGGAAATAATTAAGCATGGATCCATCATGGAGATTTTATTAAAGATGAGTTTAATTATACGGAGTACTATTTAATACTCCATGTATTATAATAAAAGTTAAGCAATTGGTGTATAGTTTTATTACAAGCATGCAAAATGTATCCCATTATGGTATATCTCTCCTTTGACATAAGATATATGAAGAATACTTTCTTAATTATGAAGTGATTGTTACTTATTAAAAACATGCTAATCAAATATATGTTATCGCTACGGAGTAATAATATCCAATATTTCAATGACTATATAATAAACACGTATTTCTGCATCATCACAATAGTAGTACGTTTTCGGTCATCAAAATCTTGATCGGTCAAAAACAAACATGATGGTGAATCCTCTAAGTGGCGGCCATTGCGTCTCTTATGATGACGAAAAGCTGCCGCATTTGTGTAAGCATCACGGGGAGCAAAGCACTGACAGCGATGATGTTCCGTCCGGGGACGACGGCGATGATGTTTTGGCCGGGGATGACGGCGTTTCGAAGACCAGCCACAACGGAACGAGCGATAACTATACGGGTGGGTGGAGCTTTCTTGCGGAGGAGCTGGATAGTAAAAATGCATCGCCGCAGCAAGCTGCGGCAGAGAAGAGAACGATGAGGCGGCGGTCAGGGGAGTGAAGTACATTGAACTGGCCCCACCTACGCCGCGTAAGAGACACTCCTTATCCGCACTGAGTACGAAAAGCCTAGAGATGCGTACTGAGTGCTTGGGCTGCGAAACTGGCTTCAATAGCCAAAGCATTGAGGAATTGATGGGGAAGCCGTTGCTGCAACCATCACCAACCTAGTCGGCACGGATGATTACGGGCGAAAAAATCAACAAAAGTAAGGCCTTCCCGCCTCCCCTGTGTTCAACTAAAGGTAGGGACGGGCTTGATGATGCAGCCTCGTCGGGAAGGCGGTCGGTTGGTGTTGACCGCCTTCCCGCCTCCCCTGTGTTCAACTAAAGGTAGGGACGGGCTTGATGATGCAGCCTCGTCGGGAAGTCGGGTCGGTTGGTCTATAACCCGACCCGACTTTGTCTTCGTGGCAAACAGATCAGATGGGAGGCTCAGACTTTCCTTCAAAATGGATGCAAACAATGGTTCTGAGACTGATGACGACAGCGATGACGTATCAAATGAAGATTAATTTGGCTGGTTAGGGGAGGCTGGAGGGGGCATCGGCATTTCAAGAAAAAAATTATGATGTTTATACATATATAAGAAAAAAATTATAGTATATATATATATAGGGGATCGGTTCAAATAAAAAGAGGTCTTAACGTGCAAAGTGAAAAGTTTACACTTTTTCATGTTTCGCTTGCACTTTTTCTTGCTTTCGTTGCACTTTTTCGCGATAGCTCAAAAAAATCGGTTTATTTACAAAACTGCCACCGTCATTTTGGCCGAATTTGGCCAAAATCAAAATAGCCAAAAAGTGCAATGCGAACAACAAAAAGTGCAAGCGAAACATGAAAAAGTGAAAACTTTGCACTTTGCACGGGAAGACCACTTTTCATTTGAACTCTTCCCTATATATATATATATATATATATATATATATATATATATATATATATATATATATATTCATAAACAATAAAAAATATAGTGATATTTTAAACTTTGATCGTCTAACATGTCATTCCTAGTTAGCTAGGCCAGTGGCTGGCTAGCTTTTGTGGATTCAACTATAAATGTTGCTTTTTTGTTATTGGCTCCTAACAACATTTTTGCTTTTGTGGTTATATTAAGTTGTCTCACATCGGTTGCATATAGAAATATAAAGTTTTGGGGGCTACTCCTCCTAACAGGTTGACCTTTTAGAATGGAACCCCAAGTCTTAATTTGCTCTGATACCAATTCAAGACCTGGGGTTCCATCCTAAAAGGTCAATCTGTTAGGAGGAGTAGCCCAAAACTTTATATTTCTATACACAACCGGTGTGGGACAGCTTAGTACGTCCCCACAAGATGGTGGCTCGTTGGAGCAGACCGATCTTGTAGTCCGTATGCTCATTTTGAGGCTTACCAGGATCTAATTACTCGTTGGAGCTTAATTTGCTCTGATACCAACGCCAAGTCTTACTTTTATTATTATTATTATTATTATTATTATTATTATTATTATTATTACTATTATTATTATTATTATTACTACTGGATTCTTTACCCGTGTGTTACATGGGATGAATAGTTTATATGTTTAACCATGTTATTAGATGGCGGTGACCAATGGGAACCTAATGAATAATTTGAAAGACTCAAATTTAAATTTGTCAAGATCTTGGGTGAGATTTTAAGAGCAAGCAAGGGGTTAGTTTGGCAAAGTCAGGATTGTCTCGTACAAACAAAAAAAAACTTGTCATTATATATGCAATTATTCTGGTACATATGTGTGTTTACAAAACTATTATTAGTTTTATTATTACTTAGATCTATAAGATGTGATTGTTATTTGCTTACGTAAGGTCGTATTCAATTGGACTAAAATTTTCAAATATTGTATGTTTAAATATGGCCTCATCTGGTTAAATCTGGTCTAACCTAATACAATCTAATCTGGTAATCGTCTGGTGTGTGTAGATTTCACTTGTCTAGTTTGATATGATAAATGTTGTTCTATTTTAGTCTGACCAGATCCAGTCCAATCTTTTTAGAGTTGTGCGGTCTAGCCTGAAACTGAAAAAAAATCAAATTAAAATACCATAAATGTTCTAATCTGCCTTAATTGAACTCATATCAATTATATATTAGTAATATTTTTAGTAATTGAAAACATCCCAATTATATTATTACTAATAATATTATTTCTAGTAATTGCTAATAATTCATATAGTTCTTAATAGAATATTATTAGGCATATTTGTTTCCTAATATGTATTAAACTCTTTTATTATATATATTTGTCCACGACTGGTTTTGCGGTGTTCATGAGGCCGAATCTTGTTTCGTGGAAATCTAAAAAGCAGCCTACTGTATCCAAGTTCTCTACAGAAGCAGAATATCGAGTTGTTGCATATACTGTTCAGGATACGTTGCATATTCGTTCCGTTCTTTTTGAGCTTGGCTTTCCTGTTACAGTACCGGTTCAGTTATTTTGTGATAACATTTCTGCTTCCTATTTGACTGCAAATCATGTTCAACATGCTCGTAGCAAGCACATCTAGATAGACTATCACTTTGTCCGGGAACGTGTGGCGCATGGAGACTTGGTTGTGAAGTACATCCCTACACAACTACAATTAGCTGATATTTTTACAAAGAGTCTTTCTAGTCAGCAATTTCATTTTTTGAAGGACAACCTGCGCGTTGTATCTCCCGCACAGTTTTAAGAGGTGTAATAGAATATTATTAGGCATATTTGTTTCCTAATATGTATTAAACTCTTTTATTATATATACTCAGTCCAGGACTCCTATTGGGGTACCTTTTCCCAAATATTCTCTCTCACAGTTCTTATTGTTTAATTGGTGTGATCATTATATGTGTGATTAGGCGGGAATAAGATAGTGACAAACCTTGTTACTTTACATTATTATAGATTATTAATTTTAATTGCTAATAATTCATGTAATTCTTATTGTTTAATGGGTGTGACCGTTAAATATGCAATTGGATGGAGATAACATGGATATGGAAACTACAAGCATTGCTAATTGCTATCTGTGTCATTTGTTTGTTTCCGACTCAAGTAAAAAGCATTCCAATTCCTCTTTTTCTGTCATTTGTGCCATCTCTTATTCCTTCCCCACTCTCGTACTGTTTGTTACCAAACATACAGCTAATTTTTAATGCTAGGCAACTTAAGTTATTATTTTGCAACATGCTTAGAAAATTTATGACGAATAAAATTATACAAGAGTAATAACAGTGCTTATAATATGTTATTTTTATTAATTGTTATCTAAATATTTACATATTTCCTCATAACTAAAAAAACCAAAAGAAGAAAGAAAAAAAGCTCAACAAAAATACCAAACTATATTCTCCTTTCACTTCATAGTTTTTATCCCTAATGCTAGCCAAGTCATGTACTTTAACTTCACTTCTATCTCCTTTGGAAATTAAAGAACTTAATGGCGTAAGCAAACACAAAGCAGAACAGAAGAGCCCAGCCAACATGAGCTGCAGCAACAACTCCAAGGAAGTCATAATCAAAACCAAATCCAACTTTGAGATAATCCTTCACACTCATGTCAACACCTCCAGGAATCTCCACCATGCTTGTTTTGTCGCCTACTTGAGACGTAATTAGACCATATATTGTCCATGCAACCGGGGAGCCCCAGTAGTACCACCTCCACCACAACGGGATTTGCTAAGCATACACACACATATAAAATGAGATAATCAATTCAATATATAAGCCTGAAACAAAATATATGTTCTCTTAAAAAATGTACTTGTTATAACTCACCGTTCTTGGAATGAGGAATCCCGAGAAGAGATTCCAAAAGGTGAGGAAGAATGACATGACGATGGCAGCGATTTGGTAGTTTGGAGTGAGTGCAACAAGCATCATTCCATACATTGTGAAGTATATGAAGCTCATGAAGACGTAGTAGTAGAACCAAAAGAAACGTTGAGCTTCCCAGTGGAATCCGATCATTGAGTAGAGTATAAGGCTGTAAATGAAGGTTTGTATTGCAATGTAGACAGCTTCAATGGCAACCTGTATGGCATAATAATATACTATAAACTTTTAAAGCTTATGAATAAGTGCTGACATTACTCATCAAGAATTCATGCATATTTGTCTCCTATTACTAGACTATAGTAACCATAGTTACATGACATGAAAACATAGCTACCTAACTTAGTGCCCATTTCGTAAGACCTGAAATGATGGAAGTGGCTCAATCTTCTACTTCATCATCATCATCATCATCATTACCCCAGTGCCGCAAAGGCTCCCACCTACAGTGGGTGGCTCAATCTTCTACTTAAAATACTTATTTTGCTCAACTATCTTAAACATTTGTTCAGAACATTTAAAAAATAAAAAATAAAAAATAATATCCAACATAGTAAAATAGCTGTCTTTTTGTGCAAGACTGCAAACTCTTACTGATACGCTGGAGCCTGGAAAGTGATTAGGAAAGTAGGAAACAGACACATAATGTCACTAATCTCTAATTTTAGCATCAATAACACAATGAATTGGTACACGTAAAAGTATTTACAGTTGTGCAATATTATTTTAGTGTAGTTAACGAAAATTTTGAGTTACTGTTAATTACCTGAGCAAATGCATAAGGCAATGCAGAATACATCCCCGCTGCTTTTTCTCGATAGAAGACTGTCCTTTCTACTGATACAACAGACTGCACAGCAGAAGTATTTGTTCCTCCGAGAAACATAACAGCAGCATACATAGCTCCCATGAGATTTGTAAGATCTTGTTGTCTAGACCTGTTACATTTGTAAACAAACAAAAGTCAAATTATAATTCAGGATGGAATAGAAAGGTGGTTATCATGCTCATTTCAGAACAATACAACTTACGTTTTGTTCCCCTTTTTCCAGAAAATAACTCCAAATATAATTCCTATTATGATTGTCATGAAAAACCGGATCGCGTTGTACTGTGGATGCCTCCAGTAGGACATGTGCATTTTCCAAAAACAAGCTTTGCACTGAGTAAAGAAAGACTGGGCATATTTTGTGGGGAAGTGAAGGTCTTGGGAAGCAGGCCCTGGAGTGCTCAACTGTTCAATGAGTTCTTCATTCCTCCTAGGAAAATAAGTAGGAAGACACTAAATGTTGTTAGAATTACAACGACATGAGATGGAAGGTAAAATAAGAAAATTAAATCTTTAATTTGTCCTAATTACCGGTAGAGGTCAGAATTGGCATAAATATCTGCAAAGTCAATGTCAAGTTGAGCCTCAACGGTAGGAGCACTAATCTCAAGCATCCAGGTAGCCGGATTGTATCCTTCCTTGATTTTAGTAACCCCTAGTATAGACTGGGATATACAAATTATACAAGCCAATCAGGTTTTGTACACTGAAAATTTTGTAACATCTATTGATCTTTTGCAATTCATGCAAAATGTCAAGACCTAATAGAAGTACTAGTCCAAGATCTTTATATATTGATTTGTATTTTTTTATATGTTCACTAATTCAGGACTGTTAAACAAGAGGGAGTAACTCACTTCAAAGTATTGTATCAGCAAGTGTGAGTGGTGACCAAGTGGCCCAGTGTAGATGACTTGACCTCCCCTCTTCATCAGCAATAGCTATAAAAATTTGATGAATGTTAGATTGAGAAAATAAGAAGAACAGTGTACATAATGAACAAAACAAAATCAGACTATGCTTTGGCCACTAAGTGAGCTATGTGAATCAACAATCATTCTTTCTTGTCATGAGCTATCTTCTCCAAAAACATGGTAGTCAAGAGGTTTCTTCTAAGGGTATGTTTGGGAGTTGGGTTTTGGAGGGGAGGGGATGGTTGACAAAGGTTTATTACCCTCCCTTTCAAGTTCGGGAGTTAAAAAATATGGAGGGGATGGTTTTGGAGGGCTTTTGTAACCCTCCAAATCCCTTCAAATGCTCAATTTTCAAGTTCCCCCAAATTGGGTGATTTTGAAGCATAACTAATTAAATAACAATTTTAGCTCAATTTTAAATAAATATAAACTCAATTATTTGAATTCATCATATATGTGAAGTGATTTTAATTATAATTCATCCAAAACCTTTATCTTTTCAAACTTGATACTCCCAAACAAGAAGGGTTTCCAACCCTTTCCCTCTCTTTCCCTTCCAATGACTTACCTCCAAAACCTTCCCCTCCCCTTCCCTTCAAACTCCCAAACATACCCTAAGGGTTCATTTGGATAGAGGGTTTGGAGGGCTTTGGAGGGGAAGGCTTTGGATGATTTAGTGTATACTTGATAAATAGGTAATTTAATTTAAAAATATTAAAGACTAAGCCTTCCAATCATTTCCCTCTGTACCCCTTCAAAACCCTTCGACCAAAGATACCTCATTCATCTATGAATATTCATGTAAAAATATTGAAAATTGCAATGAGTGACTTACCTCATCAAATGCTTCAAAGATATCTATGCTTGGTTGGTGAATTGTACAGACAACGGTCCGTCCTGTATCCACGGTGTTTCGCACAGTTCGCATCACAATGGCAGCCGCTCTAGCATCTAGACCTGATGTGGGTTCATCCATGAAGATAATGGATGGGTTAGCAACAAGTTCCACTGCTATTGTCAACCTCTTTCTCTGCTCTGTTGAGAGACCATCTATACCCGGGAGTCCTACTAGAGAATCTCTCAAGGGACTCAACTCAACCAACTCCATCACTTCCTCAATGAACATCTAGTCACAAAAGCACGATATATTTGAAAGTTTATTACTTATAGGGTGTGTTCAAACAAGACAAGCAAGGCAAAGAAAATAGAAAGGTAAGTAGAAAGCATTTGAATTAGAGAATTGTTTCCACAAAATACAGAGTTGGTTCAAACTGAATATAACAGTTTTAGATATTAGAAGGCCACATCTAAGATTCTTTTATATAATGAAAGAGTAATATAACAATGTGTAAGACTTTAAAAAGATCAGATCAAATCAAATCTGAATTTCTGTCAAACTTTCCGTGATAAAACCAAACACCACAAACTATTTGTTTTTCTTTGCTAATGATTTTCCAAATTCCAAACATAGCCTTAACGTAATGTAAATGTTATATCACAAGTAAGAAAGCTTATTACCTTTCTTTTTTGCTCATTCACATCGGAAGAAAGACGCAACCATGCAGAGTATACAAGAGACTCATAAACTGTAACATGTGGGGAATGAATATCATTCTGTTCACAATAACCGCTTATTCGAGCAAAAGTTGATTGGTTCTTGGGGTAACCAGAAATGCTAATGTTTCCCTCAATATATCCGCCTGTTTTCCGTCCTGCTAAAACATCCATCAAGGTGGTCTTCCCTGCTCCACTCACACCAACCAGGGCTGTTAATACTCCGGGCCTGAAAGAACCACTGACATCTCTCAACAATTGGAGTCGTGTCTCTTCGATTCCTTGTTTTTGCATTTCCTGATGAATACACACCGTAAGTCCAAATTCACAAGCCAAGCCAATGCTGAATATATAGTGGTGAAGTCTATCAAATGCATTCTGATATAAGTACTTACAGCTGGCATATCAACAGAGTAATAGATATGGTTGAATGCAAGAGACAGAGGTTGGAAAGGAAGCACCATCCCTTTGTTCTTGCTCGCATTTTTTTCAACACTTGAGCTTTGGTTCGCTGCCATATCAATTCAGGCATTGATGTACACAATCATAAAAACAGGTTATTGAAGAAACAAAACAGCTCTATTATTATGACTAGTGTAACTTTGATAAGTATTAAAATGGTAAATATCATTAGAGAGGTTGAGAATCATTTACATAATAATCACGTAATAATAACATTATGTTAATAAAAAAGAATAGTGTACTATTGTACTAATAATGTGTTGATATATGAGAATGAGGATTCAAAAGCATTAATGCGTATATGATTTACTGCTGTTTTGAAAATAAGTGAAAACATTAGTGTTAAGTATCATTCATAAGCTTTAAATTAAAAAGTAAACATTTTGAAAGATTTTGCTACACTTTTTCCATGCTTGGGTCCTGCTTGTTTAAGTATCCAAATAGTTCATGTATTATTGGTTTTGAACCACATTATATAGCTCATATCATAGTCCAGAGTTGGATCCGGGAGCTCGACAGATACAACTTTGTCTATATTATCACATTCTTGAAACTTAAACTTTGGTTGAAAGAACAAAACTATATGGAATGCGATAATCCCCTGTTTTGTAGAGCACTACATGTTAATATACAACATATAAGTAAATTAGCTGTTTAAAGTATGAGTTTACGAGTAAATCATGAGTCAGGTACACAAATATAAGTAAAACATGATTTATTTAAGGAAAACTTCCTCGCTTTTAGCATTAGAAATGAATACCGTGTTATGATCTCTTTTTTCTAGTTTTTCTACTTGTTTATCTCAACTTTGTTACTTGATTTACTTGATCATCTATTCTCAATTTGTATATATACAAAATTCACTACTTCCTATAATTTTTCACGTACTATATAAGTATAGGGGTAGATCTATTCATTTTGGTCTCAAAATTTATGGATATTTTTACATTATTATCATTAATAAAAATTATCATTAATTTTTTTTTAATTTTTTTAACCGTTTACTACTTAGATAAAAATGACCAATTAGTATGAGTCCAATATTTTAGTCATATTTATTATCATGCGCAATAGATGATTCTCTTAATTTAATAAAAATAATTAAGAGATAATGACAAATGTATGACCAATATAATGACAGTGGATAAAAATATGACTTAGTGACTATCATAGTAACTTTAGTGATTACGCATAGTAAATATAGCAATATTTTTGTCCATATGTTATATTTCGGTAATATTTAAGGAAAAACCTGAATAATCAATCCCTCCCCACTCCAACCCTTTCTAAAATCCAACTCTCAAACATACCAGAGATCGTTGCTGTCGATGGTGAGCACCGGTCCATTGCTGCTTTACTATAGGGATTTGATTCTTTCTTCTTATCATTGATGTTTTTCTCACCAGCAATAGTAGACTTAGGGTCTCCAAAGGCTGTATTTCAGAAAGAAGCATGGTCATAAGTCTTGTGTATTAGAATGTTATTATAACAAAATCAGAAACAAAATAGTATCTTACGGTTTAGGTATGTCAAGGCTATGACAAAGCACACATTGAAGAGAAGTGAGAATCCTAAAAGGGCTATAATGCATATCCAGTACATGTAATCATTTACATACATGCCCCTTGACTTGAGAAGAACCATGCCTACTGTATTTCCACTGAACCTGGGATCATTAATAGGCTGAAGAAGATGGGGGTGTGTTAAACAGATAAAATTTGTTCAAAACAGAAGAATGAATACTTTTTGAGAGGATATTATCAAGGCTTACAGAGCTCCATCTTTTATCAAGAAATTCATTGATGGCTATAGCATTCTGTCCATAAGACATGGGAGAAATGTAATATCCCCACTTCATCCATGGCTCAAGGTCATCTACATCCAGGAGAATGAAAATGCTTATTTGTTTGGAATAAGAAAATAAGATTTGAAGAAAATAGGCATGCATCATTAAAACATACAGAAAATTTATATATTAGCATAAAAACTTATTTACTAACCTTTAGCAACAATAAAACCACCAAGCACAAATACTATCAGCAAAGTAAAAGTACCAAAAGTGGTTGCAACAACTTGTGTTCTTCCAAGGGCAGCAATGAAACGAAAGAGGCACAAGGCCATGTTGTGCAAAGAGAAGAAGGCCAAGAATTGGCGAAAACACCTGAGCAAAGGCTTAGTGTCAGTCTAACACATCTTATTGTTGCCAAAAACTAATTGAGATATGTCCATTATATTCTATTTATCCCCAAGTCATGTTGACTATCCAAAAAAAATGAGTCCCTTTGGAACACAAAAATACCATGGAAAGAAAACAGAAAGGAAAATAGGAGGATAAATGGATAGAATGAATTATGGGATAAAAGAAAAGAGATTCAAAGCAATAAATTTATTTTAAGTATTCCTTGAAACATATTCTCTTTATCTATATCTATTTTATAGAGACAAGGAAAATTAAATATATGTATAAAGTTGTAAAAATAAGTCATTTCATTTTCCATTGCATCTTTAAGAGTTTCAGGTAAAGACAAAAATAAGAAAATAACCTTCCTTACTCATTTCCCCATAACTTGGCATGTTTAGGGATCCAAATATACCACTAAATATCTTAGGAAGAGAACTTCTAGTCCATCCCTAGAGATTGAATAAGTAAATGCATACCTACTAGCACCAGGAGCAAAACCAACAGTGTAATAGGTAAGAGCAATCCATATGAGTGATTCCATAAATGAGATGGGGATTTTTGTAAGCCATATTGGGAGAGCAAAAGCCCAAGCAGGGTAGAACAGAGAATCTCTCTGTTTATAGAACACAGGAAGTCTGGAAACCATCAGTGCAAGCTCTACTGCACCATTAAACATCACATTGAGGAGACTGAAAAAAAGTGCTCCGCAGAACTTTCCTCCATCTTGTACCGTCCCAGATTTCATCTTTGTCCTAAAGAACACTGTGAAAGTAATTATTGACATCACAGTGATCTGGAACGTCTTGAATATGTACAAAAAAGAGTTTCTTCTCATCAATAGCCATTCCCTAGATAAGCATGCCTTGAAGAGTTCCATATTGGAAATACCATACTTCTTAGTTTCTAGTGCTGCAGGATGGGTTTTACTCCTTTCATAAGGAACTGACAGCTCATCATAGAGTTTATGCCCAGCATGAAAGTTGCTAAACCGGTCTGCAAATTCAGCGACTGAGACGTACTGATAAGGTTCACTTTTTCTGTACCAATACTGTTCTTGGTCCTTCAGAGAAGTGACTTCTTGTAGGAAATCAGCAACTCCTTTCCTTTCTGGGCATTTAAATCCCACACTCTCAAAAAACTCAACAACATTGTCGCGTGGACCATGGTAGACAATTTGTCCCTCAGAAAGCAAAATGATGTCATCAAAAAGCTCAAATGTTTCTGGTGCAGGTTGGAGAAGCGATATTATCATCGTCACATCCATTATATGGACCATTTGCCTCATGTATTTGACAATTTGGAAAGTGGTGGAGCTGTCAAGACCAGTTGAGATTTCATCCATGAAAAACACTTTTGCAGGACCAACCAACATTTCTCCTGCATTGACATGAAAAACAGACACAGCATGCATATTCAATCTATTGGCTGTTCAATACAAAACATGCAAGATTGATATAGCCCATTTAAAAAGGGTTAATTGGCTGAAATTGTTCATGTTGCTCAAATTGTGGCTATATTGGTGAAATCACTACAACAACATCATCCAAGCCTTGGTCCCAAAAGATTTTGGGTCGGCTAACATGAATTGTGACATGATATTAGAGCCAAAAGGAAACGAAAGATAAGAAAGATATAAAGATAAGGTAAGGTAAAAAAGATTAAAAAAAGATAAGATAAAATAGAGATAAGATATACATGAAAATGATAAGATAAGAAGGATAAAAAGAATATATATAAAATACAAGGATAAAAGGATAAAATAATGAATAGAAAAAATACATACAAGAAAGAAGCTAAAATAATAATCTTCAGCAACTTTAGCAAAAAAGGTATCATCATGTATGTTACTTTTTCTCATTATTAAAAAATCAGCGCATGCAAATGGCAATCAAATACATTAGTATTTTTCTTCAAATATGTAGCTCATAAGATTAAAAAAGTATCTATAAAACGGCCGTTGAAATATAAGGAGAGTAGAAGCAAAGAAAGCATAAATGATGCTAATCAACTAACCTGTGGTGACACGCTTCTTCTGCCCCCCTGATATACCCCTCATCATCTCATTACCCACCATTATATCAGCACATATATCCAGACCAAGAATCTGCAAATCATCAGTTCCACAGTTCAACACATTTTTCTTGATTTTCTAGTCATGCATACAGTCAAAAAGTATATATATACATACCTTAAGGACATAGTCAGTGACTAAACTAGATTCCTGGCCTGCAATAGCAGTAGCCTTCATGAATGCATCAATCTCTGGATCAGGCTTAATCCCTGAATCCCTTTCACGCCTGGACAATTCAGTGAGAAGTTCGTATCTAGTTCCAACCCCTAAAGCACGTCCAGCAAAGTCCAGTGTCTCTCTTACTGTCATCTCTCCATGATGGAGGTCATGTTGACTTATATAAGCACATGTTCTTTGAGGAATGAATTCTGACATCTCATGACCGCAATAAGTGATTTTACCCTCAACCTTAAAGAAAATAGTAAAATTCAAAACAAGTGACAACAGTACGTAGATCTAAGTGGAGAATGTCAAGACTCGGAGTTCCAACCTAAAAGGAGTAACCCAAAGTCTTGTAAAGTGTTTTTATGTTTTATAACTTTCCGGTGTGGGACAAATACTTTAACACAGAATGACAGAACTCATCATACCCTAAGGTCCTTGTCCAATACTCCTGCAAGTGATTTCAAGAATGTGGTTTTACCAGAGCTAGGAGGCCCAAGAAGTAGTGTCATCCTGTAGAGTGGAAGAGGAAAAAATACTTAACCATATGGACAGAAGTATCCACCAAAATAATGTTAAGAGGATGCTCTTTTTGAGAACATACCTTGAAGGTTTTATAATTCCATTCACACCACGGAGTATCTGGACTGCTCTTTTTGTTGATGGAAAAATCTTTACCTTTTCGAGAAAACTCTGGGATAATAATGTTGAACATTATCAGCATACATTATGATGTAATCCAGGTAAAGTTAGAAGCTTGAAGAAGATAAAACATGCAGAAATATTGAATCCAGCAAAGAAATAAAATTGAATACCTCTACCACATTAATGGTAGCATTTAATAAAGTAGGTAATGCCCTAGATCCAGCATATGCATCTCCTTCTATGGATAGATCCTGATACCGCACTTCAATTTTTGGAATATCAATTCCTACCCTATTCATGAAAAAATTATGATCAAGAAGATTCTTGCCTTGTGCCTTTGTTTAAGCACAAATTTCTAACACGATGGAATTCGAAATTTGGCCAAGTTCACTAAACTCGACCATAATGCACACGGTTGAAACTAAACTAAAAGATAGAATCTAATCCATTAGCTTGTCCAACATAAGGTCTTGGATTCCTAACAATACTTAATGATCAAGACAGGTTAAAGAAAGGGACTACATATTATGTACATGTAATAGAGATTTAGGCCTCACCTATCAGTTCTGTTTCTTTGTCTTGTAAGGAAGCGCTCGTTATCAACTTCCACAACCTTCAAGATGCTTTCCAGGAGGCACTTCTTGTCTTGCATCCCAAGATTGTGAACATCAATTTCTTTATTCACAACTTTTCCATTATCCAACGTTTGCTTCAAGACCCCTCTCCTCAACCTGTCATATGTAGGAAGCCTGTCTATAGCAGCCCACTTGAGCTCTTCTTCGTCATCATTCTCTCTGGCACTTCTCTGGAATACATCCCCTCCTGGTGCAGCAAACACTTCCCTAAGACTTACAGAAGCTAGGCTCCTTGAACTAGCGGATCTGAGACTAGTCACTCTACTTCTACTCATTGTCCGCCGGCTTATAGTTATATCATCCCCACCTAGAGGTGATGCCATCTCCAACCCCTTTCTACCAGACACAGAGTTAGCCAAATACCCTTTTTATCTCAGTGTCCTCAACACAAGAAACTCCACTAGTTCCAACTTCCAAGCCAGAAAAGATATTTAATTTCACAGTTTCATTCACTCAACTCATATGATCCACTAGAACACCTGAAGCGCACTATAACCAAACAGAGATTAACACTGTAACATGTCAAAATGAAGAAATCTCTACTATTTCAAGAATTAGTGATGGGGTGGGAATATAACAGGATACAACAATGCAATGGCAGGATTGGCAGCAGAGATAGACAAAAAGGCAAAAAAAAATGACACACCCAAAGGCTTTGCAATGAGAAACAATGGCTATCAAAAATTAAAGAAGAGATTTTTGAGTAAAGGCAGTTAGTCGAATTGTGAAATCTTTGGGTGGACTTTCTACAGATTTTGGAGAAGTAACAGAATGGATGTGATAAGGTACAGTGGGTTTTGACAAAATGAGGGTACTGTTTAAGTGAAGAATTCTGGTAAAGGGGAAGTGGACAAATTCTAAATTTTTTGAAGGATGGCGGATCATTTATAGCAGGCTATGTAAGGAGAAACGAGGGAAAGAGGACGACGTGTTCACGTTAGTAGTTTAAATTTTACTTTACCACCGACACGCTCTACAGCTTCCTCCTTTGAGGTTTTTTTTCTTTTCCTCTATTTTTCTTGTATTCTTCGATTCACTCCTTATTATTCTTCTTTACAATATAGTAAAAATAACGAATACATTTAGGTTTTGGTAGATTCTACGGTGCCTTATACTGTTATACATTTATGCGCTTTAGTTCCTTGTAATTAAAAAATAGATTTTATATGTTATAACTAATCATGCTCATAACACCTTGAAATAACAAACTTAAAACTATGAGAATAAGTGTCTTGACGTTCTTATTAAATTTGCATCTGATTTTATCAAGATCTCTTTTAAATTATGTTATACTATGGGAGTATAGGATACATGATCATTTATTTCTTTTTAATTGTAACAATAAACATTTCACGTTTATCAACACACAAATTTGATCATTAATATCTTTCATTCCCTATAGGTAAAAAATTTAAAAAATTCATATTTTGAAAATTTAGAAATGAGAATAATTTAACATTATTTTTAAAAGTTTTAATTTATAATATATTAATTAATAAAATATAGTCAAAATAGAATATGTGAATAGTACAAAAAGTTTAATGTTACAATTAAAAGAGAAAGAAAGGTGATGGTATATAACACGGAGTTTCATTCATTTTAAATTAGAAAGCATACGTTAATATGCAATATGTGTATATGGCTCCTATTGAGTATTTTAAAATGTAAACGAACAAGTTGGTGTAATTATTACGTACTTGACATTCTAGATTGTCAATGTTTTGCGTTTTGTTTTTTATTTTGTAAAAAGTAATCTAGAAGGCCATAATAGCTAGAGGCTTGACCGCTCGATATGCAGCTGTGTAACGTGATCCATAATAATAGGGGAAAATAATAAAAATATCCCAAACTTTGAAAGAGTGTGAGGTAAACACCTCAAACTTGCATATGTAATTTAAATATCTCAAACTTTGCACCATCAGCATGTATTATTTCTTTCAAAAATGTAAATTTATGGGGTTAATTGCATAATTTAACATAGCAAATTAAAAGTGTTGCAATTATATAGATTGGGGGTAACATTATTTATTTCGCTTTGGAATTTTTGAATATTGATTGTGCCCTTCATGAATTCTAAAATATTTTAAATTATGCAATTAACACCATAAAATTACATTTTTGAAAAATAATAATACTTGACTATGGTGCTAAAGTAACTTTTTATATAAAGTTTGGGGTATTAAAATTACATATGCAAGTTTGGGGTATTCATCTCTCACCCTTTCAAAGTTTGGGTTATTTTAATTATTTTTCCCATAATAATTAGAGGATTTTAGATTAATGTGAATGTCACATTCATGGGTATGTTAGATTGATGTTAATGTATTCAATTCATTCCCATTTGTGTTTGGTTAAGATTAAAAGAACGTGACATTAATGTATTTGGTTAAACGATATCTTATATTGCATATATGACGGATTACTTAATGCCCTTTAAATACTGAAATATCTTAAAAATAAATAAAATCAAATCTAATTGAATTATTTTTGAGTAGGTTTAGTTGTAAGAGGTTGTAGATCCAATACAGATATGAAAAAAAATCTGTTCAAATAGCAATCTAAATATATTTATTATCATTTCAAAAAAAATAAATTTAAAAAATATAATGTTCAAGTTATTCGTAAAACTTGTTTTCAAATTAAAGATAAAACTTGTTTTGCCATTAAATTTTGAAATCCACTGATTAAAAACTGAAATAATTTATAAGTCTTATAACATAAATACCTTAAAAAATTTAAAAGTTAAGAAAAAAAGAATTATGAAAATAACAAGAATAGACATTCGAATATAATAAAATAAACATACTCCATCCGTCTCACTTAAAAGGTTGTCACACAATCTAGATATTCGACTGATTATAAAATTAAGAAATAATGACAAACATATAACCGAAATGAAGATAATCGACAAAAATATGACTTAGGACACGTTTACTTCACGGGTTAGTAAACGGTGCTTATTAAGACTCGCGTTAATAAGCGGCGCATAAAATAAGCAGCGTTGTAAGCTCATGTTTACTTCAAAGGATTTAAAACACCGTTTAACATTAAAATGTCCAAAATAACTTTATAGATATATACACACAAACATTCATGACCACAAGTATATAATATAATATGTGGGGTCACCTCGTACGCTTAGTCGCTTACCCACACCCCTAACCCATACCCCGCCCTGTACCCTCACCCCTCACCCTACCCCCAATTCCACACCCTTGACCCCCACCCCTTCCCTACCCCTACCCTTATCACGACCTTACCCTCCACCCCTAACCATACCAACCCCTCACCCTACTCATAGGGGTTGGATCGAGGTAGGGGTAGGTGATATGGGGTAAAGGGGTAGGGGTCGGGGTATGGTAATGGGAGTGGGTGGGGTCGTGGTGGGCTCGAGGTGGGGGGCAGGTGGTAGGGGTAAAAAGGTAGGGTCGAGGTAAGGGGATACAGGTAGAGGGTAGGGTGGGGTGGGGGTAGGGGTGGGTCGAGGTAGGGGCAGGGAGTAGGGGGTAAAGGGGTAGGGTAGGGGTAGAGAAGGGGTGGTGGGGGTAGGGGTAGGGGTGGGGTCGAGGTCGGTTCAAGGTAGAAGAAGGTGGTAGGGGGTAAAGGGTAGGGTAAGAGTAAGGGGTGGGGTAGGGTAGGGGTCGGAATTGGGGTGGGGTCGAAGTAGGGGCAGGTAGTAAGTGGTAAAAGGGTAGGGTCGGGGTAGGATAAAGGTAAGGAGTATTAGTGGGGATGGGGGTGTGGTCGTGTCAAGGGTGGGGTGGGGTCGGGGTGGGGTCAAGGAGTCGGGGTAAGGTAGGCGGGGTAGTGGGGTAACAATAGGGTAAGGGCAATGGGTAAAGGTAAGGGTAAATTCGGAAACTGAAAAAGCTTAAAGTGTCGCTTAATTAATACACGGGGGAGTGGTATGCTTAGTTTAAGCAACTTGCGTGTTTACTTCACCTGTCATTCTAACCTAACTGTAACTTTAGCTGCGAAGTAAACGCCTCCTTAGTGACTATAATAGTAACTTTATTCACCAATCACCATGATAGTGTTGAACTTTACATCATAGTGACTATGCATATTAATCTTAGTAATATTTTTGTTCATAACTTATACGGAGTACTTCGTATTTTAGTAATATTTACGGAAAACCCTCTAAAATTAACGGATCCCTGTCAATAATAAGATTATTTTTAGTAAATAAAATTTACATATTTAGAAACTACATTAAAAGTTTTATAAAATCACAAAAATTCAAATTTGATAAAAGTTAAATACATAGAGAAATTAAATGAAAAGTGATAATTAATTGAGGGTATTTCGGAAGAAAAATAGATCATCCCCGAGAATGTCAGATAACCTAAGGCATGGAAGGGTATAACATTCCCCTCCATATCACTTTCCCAGAAATGTAACTTTCCCGATTTTTTGTCAAAACCGTGAACAAAACATGAGTATCTAACAATCTAGACATCACATTTCGGCCTCAATGTGAGATAACCCCAAACCAAATAGACCGTTAGTGTTTTTTTACTATAATAAACAATTTCGTGTTAGGCTCAAAGTAATATGGATGAAAAATTCTAAAGGTACACACTTTTACTATAATAATAAAAAAAAAAACCTTTACATATATAAAAAGTGTGTACACATTTTGTGTACCCAAAGCAAAGCTAATATGGATTATGGAGTACTTTCGAAATCTTATCGTAATTGAATTTCGAAAATCTTGAAATGTGAGCCTGATACGAATCTATATGGAATGGGTTGGTTTTAATTTCAGTGAGAATAGCTTATACTCCGTACTAGATATCAAATTAACAGTTGTAACTCGATCTTATGTGTTTCTTATGATTCATTATTAACTAGTTATTTGAGGACCTAAGGGGGTTAGGGGGTGCACTTGCCCCGCTTCAGATCCGGAATTTCACTAGTAACACTTAATGTAAAAAACAGTGTCCTTGCTTCATATCAATATTTGATAATCAAGATACTAAAATGTTACAGTTACATAAATAAAAAATTAATACAAAATATTTAAATTTTAGTTGAATTAAAATAAAAGATATAGAATTATCAAAAAACGAAAAAAGTAATCAAGGGTTGAAAACAACAAGTAACAAAAAAAGTTAAAATGCAAAAGAGTAGCCGAACGTGCAAGCAACTAAAACTATTAAAAGTCTAAAAACAAAACCCACTAACATTTGAAAGACTAGAATGAAAAAAGCGGAAGTTCGGCAAAGCGGAAGTTCGATGTCTTGTTGAATTGACGTTGCACCGCCGCATGCCCACACCGCTCAATCGTTCCATATTTCCTTGATTTGTAAGTTTGTTTCCAATTTATTCTGCATTTACGGGATTACGGCACCTGCTTCTCAGTTGCCACAAAGGATTATTTTAAAAATTATAATTGTTAATAATCAAGAATATTGAGAATTGTTTGTTTACTTGGAATTTGATAGTTTGAATTTGTGAATGCGCTCTAATTAGGAATTAGGGTTCTAATTTGTAAGAGTTTTTTTCTTTTAACTTAGTGAAATAATTAGGATGCAGAAATTGATTTAATTAGATTTTATTGTATTTGTCTTTTATATTAGGAAAATGAGTTTGGATAAATTTGTAATTCGGAGTAAGAGGTCTTTAACTCTAGGAGATAGTTATTCGAACATTCCTAATCAGTCTATCTCAAGTAATGCAATTGTTGTTGCTTCGAATGTAAGTACTGTTCGAGATGAGTCTAATGACATTAGGGGATCGAGACCAAAGAGCCCGCACAGATAGTACGTCTGAGTGGGATATCATTAGCGATCCAGCATTACGAAAGTCAATCAATGAATATGAGCCTCGAGTAAGAGATGATGTGATGAGAGCATATGTTGTTAAAGGGCTTGTCAACCGTTGTCTCATAAATTTCCACAAACTTTATTTGGGAAACAAATGAGATGTTTTCGAGCAGAGTGGTTTAAAAATTGGGAATGGTTAGAATATAGTGTTTTTGAAGATGCCGCATTTTGCTTTTGGTGTTACATTTTCCATGGGGTAGAAGGGAGGATATTTGGAAATGATGTATTTGCGAGGACCAGATTTCGTAATGGGAAGAAAAGTCTTGCAAGCTTTGGAGAACATGTAGGAATTGGAAATAATGTCCACAATGATGCCATAACACGATTATTTGCTTTCAAGAATCAAAAGCAACGCCTTTCAAGAATTGTAAATAGTGTCCAATATGAAAACTCGTAGGCTTGATTTACCGAAGTTACATTAGTGAACTATTTAAGAGTTTTTACCACTTTTCATCCTCAGACTATTATGTTATATTGTTATTGATACTTTTAGTACTCGATTTTGATTGTTTTCCCTTTTAGTCCTTGACTATTGTGTTAGAGACACTTTTGGAGTTTTGGTACCCATCTTTGAAAACTTTCATATGTAGTCCTTGAACTTTCATAAAAGTGACACTTATTGTGTCAAAATTATAGTGGAAGGACTAAAAGTGTCGATTTGATAATACTCAGGGGACTAAATGTGGGAAACTTTTAAGTCGAGGACTAAAAGTGTCTCTAGCACAATAGTCGAGGACTAAAAACGAAAAAATTAAAAGTCGAGTATCAAAAGTGTAACTGACACAATAGTCGGAGATCAAAAATGGAAAAAACTCAACTATTTAATATATAATTAACTACTACCTCCGTTCCCATTTTAACTTCCAAATGGGTTTGGCACAAAGTTTAAGATAGTGGATATTGTGTGGTGGAGAGTTGTGCACAGGAGAGAGAAATGTGTAAGAAATGTTGTGAACCACAAATTCTTTACCAAAAAGGGAAAGTGGAAGTTTTAATTGGAACAGACGAAAAAGGAAAGTTGGAAGTTTATTTAGGAACGGAGGGAGTAATATGTATAATTTAATACATTTCTTTATCACTTTTATTAAATTTGGAGTTTTTATAATAGAGTAGGTTTAGTGTCCAGTGTGCTCCTGCTCTCACAAATCTCTGGATCCGCCAATCGGCCAATGGTTGTACGGGAGTGAAGTATGTACATAAAAGTTTAAATAGATTATATATAAAGTCAAAGAACTACATAATGAATCAATGTAACTGAAAACATAAAATTCATACATAAAATAAAATAAGAAGTCATATTTAATATATAAGAAATAAAAAAATAATGCTCGAAGTTATATATAAACCATGATGCGATAAAATAAAATAGGTATGCATGTATGTAAATCAAGAGCACATTTGGTAATACCCAAATTGTTTATATTGGCTGAAGTTATGGCTGAAGTGACTGAGTTGATTGATTATGCTAATTTATAAAAAAATCATATTTAAAATATATTTTATTATTTTTTGAATAAAATAAAGAAAAATTATACAAAAAAATAGTTAAAATAATCTTTTACAGTAACTTCAGCCATTATTAAGAGACCATATTTTTGTGAATGGGTGTTTATTAATAATATTCCATGAAAAACTCAAAAAATACATGGATTTTGTAGGGACATATAAAAACATCTCTGCAAAACATTATAACTACTCCCTCTTATAAAAATCCACCCTACTTGAGAAAAGTAAACCCTGACTAATGGTAGCCAAGCCACATTTCAGGTTTTTTCATCTTCACTTTTATCTCTTTTGGAAATTAAGGAACTTGATTCCATAAGCAAACACAAAGCAGAAGAAAAGTGCCCAGCCAACATGAGCCGCAGCAACAGCTCCAAGGAAGTCATAGTCATAGCCCAAGTTTTCTTTGAGATAATCCTTGACGCTCATATCAACACCCCCGGGAATCTCCACCATATCAGTTTTGTCTCCAACTTGAGACGTTACGAGGCCATATAACGTCCAGGCGACGGGGCAGCCCCAGTAGTACCACCTCCACCATATTGGGATTTGCTATGCGTACACACACACATAAATATGTAATATGAGATCATGAATTCAAGAAACCCAGAACAAGAAATGAGTTTTATTAAAAAAAGAATTTCACCGTTCTTGGAATGAGAAATCCTGAAAAGAGATTCCAAATGTTGAGGAAGAATGACATGACAATGGCAGCAATCTGGTAGTTTGGAGTGAGTGCAACGAGCATCATCCCGTACATTGTGAAGTATAAGAAGCACATGCAGACGTAATAGTAAAACCAAAAGAAGCGGTGTGCTTCCCAAGGGAATCCAATCATCGAGTAGAGTATAAGGCTGTAGATAAACGTTTGGATTGCAATGTAGATAGCCTCAATCGCCACCTGTATGTCATAAGAAGAAAGAGTTCACATGTATAAGGTCACTTGATGACTATATTGACTACATCATACTCTGGGGAAATTGGACTTTGCACCCCACTATTTCATCCAAATTTGAGTTTCCACCAAATCTTTGACATCATTAATATTTACACCCCAAAGTTGGAAAAATGTTGACAAACTTCATTTTAGATGAAAGAATGGAGTGCAAATTCCAATTTCCCCGAAAAACAATAGTGTTCTTAATTACTTACCTGCGCAAAGGCATAAGGCAGCGCAGAATACATCCCAGCTGCTTTTTCTCGATAGAAGACCGTCCTTTCTACTGATATGACAGACAACACAGCCGAAGTATTTGATGAACCAAGAAACATAACAACAGCATACATAGCTCCCACAAGGTTTGTGAGGTCTTGCTGTTTGGACCTGTTACATTTGTACGTCAAATGGTAATCCATAAAGGGAGAGAAGGTTCTTATTCTCATTTCAGAACTATAGAACTTGGTAACTTACACTTTAGTCCCTTTTTCCCAGAAAATGACTCCAAATACAATTCCTGTTATTACTGCCATGAAAAAACGTATGGCATTGTACTGTGGATGTCTCCAGTATGACAGGTGCATTTTCCAAAAGCATGTATGGCACTGAGTAAAGAAGGGTTGGGCATATTTTGTGGGGAAGTGTAGGTCCTGGGAACCTGGCACAGGAGTGCTCAACTGTTCAATGAGTTCTTCATTCCTCCTATGAAAACACAAATCCATTGGCGTTAGAGTAAAAGTGTAACAAGTTGAGACTGAAATCATTTATTACTCCCAACTACCGATAGAGATCAGAATCCGCATAAATGTTTGCAAAGTCCAAATCAAGTTGAGCCTCAACTTCAGGAGCACTGATCTCCAGCATCCAGGTAGCTGGATTATATCCCTCTTTTATCTTAGGAACCCCAAGTACAGCCTGGGAAATACAAAATATTGCTTTTCATAGTCAATCAAGTTTTGTTCCAGAATAATGTGTTGAGTTTACTACCTTCGTCCCCCAAACAAAACAAAAAGAAAAACAATAGGAGGGGATGGGGGGTAGCTCACTTCAAAATATTGTATCAGCGAGCGAGAGTGATGACCTAGAGACCCAGCATAGATGACTTGCCCTCCCCTCTTCATCAGCAATAACTATAAAGTTCAAAGATGAGTGTAAGACACATAAAAACACTGGAATTAAAAGTACTGAAACATTGCAACAAACGACTACCTCATCAAATGCTTCAAAGATATCTATGCTGGGTTGGTGAATTGTACACACAACGGTCCGTCCCGTATCCACAGTGTTTCGCACGGTCCGCATTACAATGGCAGCAGCTCTAGCATCCAGACCTGATGTGGGTTCATCCATGAAGATGATTGATGGGTTAGCAACAAGTTCCACGGCTATTGTCAACCTTTTCCTCTGCTCTGTTGAGAGACCATCCACACCAGGGAGCCCAACTAGAGAATTTCTCAAGGGGTTCAACTCAACCAGCTCTATCACTTCCTCAATGAACATCTAGATGGAAAAGAAAGATAATAAATACTTTACCCCATTTTGGTTTTTGTGAGAATTTATTTCAAATAAATACTGTAGGTTTGAAGAATTAATCTTCCTCTTTTTATTGAGCCATCCGGCAATGATATATATACAAGATTACAGATAAACTAAGGTTTGTTACAGATCCTAAATATTAGGATCTATCTATTCTTATCTACACTGCGAGCTAATCTAAGAGTTAGAGCCCTAAATCAACTCTAATTCCTATCTATACAGTTCCGGATGTACACATAATAAAATAACATGTATATGCTACATTTTTCTACACTCCCACTCCCCCTCAAGTTGGTAAGTATATATCATACATTCCCAACTTGCTTATAAGAAATTCAAACACTGGTTTAAACAGCCCCTTTGTAAAGATATCAGTTGTCTGCTCTTTAGTAGATATGAATGGTGTGCACACAATTCAATCTTCAATCTTCTCTTTGATAAAATGTCTGTCCACCTCAATGTGTTTAGTACGATCATGTAGCACAGGATTGTGAGCAATATTAATGGCTGCTTTATTGTCACAATATAACTTCATAGGTAGGTCCATTTCCATATTCAACTCTGTCATCATTCTCTTGATCCAAAGTAGTTCACAGATTCCATTAGCCATAGATCTGAATTCAGATTCTGCACTACTCCTGGCAACAACATTCTGCTTCTTACTCCTCCAAGTCACCAGATTCCCCCATACATAAGTACAATACCCAGATGTAGACCTTCTATCAATTATTGAACCAGCATAATCTGCATCTGTAAAGGCTTCTACACTTCTATTGTCACTTCTTTTAAAAAATAATCCTTTCCCTGGACAGCTTTTCAAATATCTTAGGATCCTGTAGGTAGCATCTAGATGTTCTTGGAATGGATTATGCATGAACTGACTAACCATACTGACTGCAAAGGCAATATCTGGCCTTGTATGTGCCAGATAAATCAACCTTCCCACCAATCTTTGATATTGGTGAATATTAACTGGTACTCCTTCCTTGACATTTCCTAACTTTTGATTAGGGTCAATTGGAGTATCTATTGGTCTGCAGGCACTCATACCTGTTTCATGAAGTAGGTCTAGTACATACTTCCTTTGGGATACCACAATTCCCTTCTTTGATCTGGCTATCTCCATGCCAAGAAAATACTTCAATTCTCCCAGGTCTTTGATTTCAAATTCCTGAGCAAGCTTCTTCTTCAGGTCTTCAATCTCTTCACAATAGTTTCCTGTAAGAATTATATCATCCACATAAACAATTAGTACTGCAATTTTTCCCTTAATGGAGAATTTCATGAATAGTGTATGGTCTGCTTGGGCTTGCTTGAATCCCTGCTTCTTTATGAATTGAGTAAACCTTTCAAACCAAGCCCTTGGGGACTGTTTAAGCCCATATAAGGCTTTCTCTAGCTTGCACACCTTTGAGCCATATTGTTCCTCAAACCCAGGAGGGGGGCTCATGTATACTTCCTCTTCAAGCTTCCCATTTGGGAAAGCATTCTTCACATCTAACTGTTGAAGAGGCCAATCTAGGTTAGTAGCTAGAGATAGTAGGATCCTTATAGTATTTAATTTTGCAACTGGTGCAAAAGTTTCTGTATAATCTATGCCATAGGTTTGTGTGTATCCTTTGGCAACCAATCTGGCCTTATATCTTTCAAGTGTACCATCTGCCTTGAATTTAGGGGTAAACACCCATTTGCATCCAACCCTTGGTTTGTTTTTGGGTACCTCTACAGTCTGCCATGTCTGATTCTTTTCAAGGGCATTCATTTCTTCTAAAACAGCCTTCTTCCACTCAAGTATAGATAGGGCTTCCTGTATGGTAAAGGGAATAGAAACAGTGGAAAGGCTAGAGGTGAAGGCTGCAAATGATGTAGATAACTGAGAATAGGACATATAGTTTGAGATAGGGTATTTAACACATGACCTTTTTTCTTTTCTGAGAGCAATGGGTAGATTTAGATCACTGAAATTATTACCTTTGTCATTTTCTGGCATTGAGTCAGATTCATGGACAGTGGCAGGATCAGGGATGTCCTCTATTCTGTGATTTGGAACTCTCCTTTCATAAACCTTGCCAAAAAACTTACTTGTCTGCTGTTCATCATCTTTCCTTGTTTCAAAAAAAAATTCATTTTCTTTTGACTCTTGACTATTTTCTAGTGCATCTAACTGTCTATTATACTGTGCATCTAGATTAATGTCAAGAGGTTCTAGTTTTTCATGGATATGTGATACATTATTACCATCTTCATTAGGAATCTCCCCCTGAAGATGAGTACCAAAAAAAGGTTGATCTTCTACAAAAACAGTGTTCATAGTTATAAACATCTTTTTTGTTATAGGGTCAAAACATTTATAGCCTTTCTGAGTTGAAGAGAGTCCTAAGAAAACACATTTTTTCCCTCTAGGGTCAAATTTACTTGCAGTTCTGTCAGGATTAGTAATAAAAACTGTGCACCCAAAAATTTTATGGGAAGAGAATTAATTAGTCTAGTTTCAGGAAAACAAGCTTGAAGAGTATCAATAGGAGTTTTGAATCCTAGAGTTTTTGATGGCATCCTATTAATTAGATAGGTAGCATGTAAAACAGCTTCTCCCCATAAATATTTTGGAATTTTAGCAGAAAACATAATTGCACGAGTGACTTCAAGTAAATGTCTATTTTTCCTCTCAGCTATTCCATTCTGAGCAGGTGTATTTACACAGGAACTTTGATGAATAATCCCTTTTTCAGCAAAAAAAGTATTTAACTTCTTAGAAAAGTACTCAAGTCCATTATCACTTCTCACAATTTTGATATTAGTGTTGAATTGAGTTTGGATCATTGAGTAAAATTGTTTGAACACCTCTTCAATCTCAGATTTTTCTTTAAGTAAAAACACCCATGTGACCCTTGTGTGATCATCTATGATAGTTACAAACCACCTTTTTCCTTTCAGAGTTGAAACTCTAGATGCACCCCAGATATCACTGTGTACAATAGTGAAAGGACTAGTTGGTTTGTAACTATGAGGGATGTAAGGACTCATATGATGTTTGGCAAGTGCACACATATCACAATGAAATGATGAAGGATTTTTATTAAGGAATAACTTAGGAAACAACATTTTCAGATAGGAAAAACTTGGGTGACCTAATCTATAGTGCATTAAATACACTTCATTATTACAAGGGAAGAAAACAGTTTGCAAACAAGTTTTTTCTTGACCTTATTTATTCAATTGTGTTCCTTCATCAAAAGTATAGAGGCCATCCTCCTCTCTAGCACTGCCAATCATCTTCCCTGATGCCAGATCCTGAAAAATGCAATAAGAGGGAAAAAAAATTACACAACACTGAAGATCTTTAGTAATTTTGCTAATAGAGATAAGATTGCAGGAAAGTTTAGGAACATGTAAGACTTTGGAAAGGTTAATGGATGAGGAAATTTTAATATTTCCCATCCCTGCTATGGCTGAAAAAGAGCCATCTGCAACTCTAACTTTCTTATCTCCTGCACAAGGTTGATAAGAAGAAAAAAACTTTGGAATGTAGGTCATGTGGTCTGTTGCACCTGAGTCAATGACCCAGGTGTTTTTAGGTTTTTCAGAACAAAAATATGATGTTATTTTACCATTTTGGGCAAAAGAACAGGTAGGGTTTTCTTGGTTGGAGATTTTCTGGGTGGGTATGAATTTGAGTAGGTACTCTATCTGTTCCTGAGTGAATGGTAGCTGTTTAGGTTCAACTACTGCCTCTTGTTGAGTCTCAGTCACAGCAGTTTGTAGGGCCCTTTCTACTTTCTTCTTCCCAGCTCCTGGTGGTTTTCCATGGGTTTTCCATGGAGTTTCCAGCATGTATCCCTTGTGTGCCACAGTTTCTTGCAGTGATCACACCAAGGTTTTTTCTTGTTGTCATCACTTCTGGCCACCAAAGCTGAAGATTCCCCAGGTTCCTCATTAGGTACTGGAGTGTTGTACATGACCTTCTTCCTGCTATCCTCCATCCTGATTTCAGAAAATACCTCCCTGATAGAGGGTATAGGTTTTTTTCCAAGTATCCTCCCCTTAACTTCATCTAGGTCCCTATTGATCCTTGCTAGAAACATATAGACCCTATCATTCTCTTCTTTTTTCTTATGTCTGGCCAGATCCTTAGCACTCTCCCACTCTTCATCATCATAGCATTGATCTAATTCTTGCCACAGAGATACCATTTCATTGTAGTATGAAATAATATCCCTATTTCCTTGTTTAGATTGCCACAGTTTGGTTTTGAGTTCAAAAATTTGAGAAGAGTTCTCAAGATCTGAATAAGTTTCCTTAATAGAATCTCATACCTCCTTTGCAGTTTTCATAAACATATGAGGTTTGGCAATTAAGGGCTCCATGGAGTTGAGAAGCCAAGCTGTTATGAGTGAATTCTCTGACCTCCATGTACTGTACCCTTCTTCTGCAGGTAGTTTTGGTTGGATTTCTCCTGTGATGTAACCCAGCTTTCCCCTCCCATCAATTGCAAGTCTGACAGATTGAGACCACTCCAGATAGTTTGTTCCATTCAATCTATGACTAGTGATTATCATAGATGAATGAATAGGAGACTGGTAATTTGTCATAGAGCTAATTTGGGAGTTAGGGTTGATAGTGTGTGAGGAATCAGCTTCACTGGTTTCTACCATTGTTTAAACCGAAGCTATGATACCATGTAGGTTTGAAGAATTAATCTTCCTCTTTTTATTGAGCCATCCGGCAATGATATATATACAAGATTACAGATAAACTAAGGTTTGTTACAGATCCTAAATATTAGGATCTATCTATTCTTATCTACACTGCGAGCTAATCTAAGAGTTAGAGCCCTAAATCAACTCTAATTCCTATCTATACAGTTCCGGATGTACACATAATAAAATAACATGTATATGCTACATTTTTCTACAAATACAAAACAGAGATAATCTCCAACAGGACATACAACCACCAACAACCAA